GGGGGGGGGGGGGGGTTGGTGGATGATCAAGTAGAAGATCATTTAGGAGAGGGAGGAAATTATGCTTTAAGATTAATATTAGTAAAAAGAAATTTTGGGTTATTTTTTAAATCAAATTACTGTCGTTAAACTAAGTAAGTTTTTCATCCCAAGAAATTAATAAATATTATTGTCCAAGTAGAATGCAAGAAGACTCATTATCATTTATCTCCATGTTCTTGAACAAATTATGCTGACAGGTAACTTCTCCTCCTAATTGCAATTGAGATTTGTAATGTTTTTACAGTTCAATTAATTCTTACTAGTGCACAAATAAATTTGTCTTATAATTCAAATTTAAAAGGATTTTTATTTGATATCTGCCACATATTGGATAAAGAAACCCGTCCCTCCTTCCTCCAATTGTGAATTAATTCCTCAGATTATCTAACACCAAAAATGCTTCAGGGGACACATTATATATATACACGGTGTGAATTTTGTGTTTGAATTAAACTAATATCTTCAATTAATGAATTTTGGGTTTTTTCTTTAATTCATTTTTTTCACTTTACTTGGAGTGGGTTTTTCTATTGTCAATTTGATTTTGCTGCGTTCTCGGTTAAACGTGGAATTAATGTCCCAACCCGCAGTGGACCGCCGGCAGAAAATCTAGTCAGATACTAACGGACTTGACCAATTAGGATAGATACTCAAGTATTGGAAAGAAGACTACATATAAGAATTAATTTCCTTCTCTTATATAAATATAAATATATATATATATAACCCTATTTTACACCTCTAAACTTATAAAAAAATCTCTTCTTTTTCTCTAGTAAAAAGAAAACAACAACTATAAGCCATAGTTTTAAAATCCAAAATTAATGACTCGGGGTATCTACATGACACCGGACCACACAAAGTTTAGCTCTCGCACAATTCCAAATCCTAGTAATTGCTCATCTCTTTCATAATTTAGACTAGAAATATTGTCATCAAATTAGCTTGAAATCTTAATTCTGGAGCTTCCTTTAAGGACAATATTTTCTTCTAGCAGACCTCAACGTTTTATTTATCATCGAATAAACTAAAAAAATTAATTTTAAAAAATATAATTTAATTGATTACATTTTAAATTTATTTTTTAAAAGTTACTAACTTGAATTTTACAAATTAAAAATTATTAAAAATTTATATAATTATTAATTTTAATAATTATAATAGCAATCGATGTATGATCTCATATGGATATTCATATTAATTCAAAAAAACATTAGTCAGACGATACGGGACCACAACACATTCACTGAGCCACAAGGCGAATGATTGTGTCAATCTATATGAATAACGCCACGATAATAACTAGAGTGGATTGTTTAATGAGGAATAAAATGATTAGGGCATGTGTTTTTGTGCAATATAATATTTAGGCTATGGGACCACAAAGCATTCTCTGGCTTTAGGTTGAACGTAAAAATAAATAGAAATAAAGAAATAAAATTAATCCGTCCTGCCCGCGGCGGGCCCCCGGTTCATTTCTGTATATGATCCTCTTCATGTTATAAATGTTTTACTTTCACTTCTCCTTGATTTTAGCTTTTTTTACCTAAAAGATTTGGCATAACTTAATTCTGATTATTTTTAAGAATTTATTTTTTTAAAATAAAAATAAAATAATAGCTGACAACATGGAAAAAGCAAACTGAAAAATCAAGCTGTAATTTTTTAAAGAAATTCAAGGCCTAATTGTACTCTATTATATCTAAAAATAGATAAAAAAATACAAATTAAAGGTCAAATTAAATAGTTATTGGATGAATTTGTATAAAA